TTATGAATACATCCACACCAAAACCCCCAATACATTTGATGTGGATGTATTCATAAGAAACTAGCAGAGACCCCCAATACATTTGATGTGGATGTATTCATAAGAAACTAGCAGAGATGCTAGTTTCTTTGGTGTGGATGTATTCATAAGTTTTCACATAATTGATGGTTTTTTTATTGTGTCATTGTTATTTCAGATTTAATTAATGTTAATTGAAAAGTTGTTTAGTTTGGTTAAGCACATTCTTCATCAATTAGCTCGAAGTATGTTTAAGTTTCAACCATCCAACTGTATATTTATTTATCTATCTGTATCTGTCTATTGACGTGACTTGTGCATCTCAGCAGTTTTAATAGGATATAAATGTTGATGTTAGTTTTCCCGCAGATGTGATGTAATAAAAATATTTAAGTTTGGTTATTTTAATTATTTTTGTTTGAATGTACATATGTTTCAACGTAGGTTGGGTGTGGTATAACGTGCCGGGCTGCGGACGTAACGTCCAAAGTTCGAGACCATGTTTCGGTCTTTCAATCGTGGGTGCATTATAAAAGGGGCAGTCAATTCTATTATTCAGAGTCGACAAGACATTTGAGCCGAAAGGTTTTGTTAGCTAGCTGTCCTCCTTGTGGTCACTAGTTCTACATAGGGTATTTGACCTGATCATTTAGGCATATATTTCAATTCTTTCTATTTCAACGATAAATAATATCTGTTTCTTTATTTCTATATTTATAACTTTCCATCTGTCCTTTGACAGATCTCATATATCTATCAATAAAAGTAAATAATGTCCAGACAACAATAACTGTCATTCTTATATGATATCATATAAGTTAGTTGATTGGCTTGAAATGACTTGATGTTTTATTCCTAGTACAGCTGGCTTATGTCATCGACAGATATGGGGATTTACTTTAATATATATATATATAAAACCTATCATGTTGGCACTACTCTTTTACTGCCTTGTTTTGCCCAAGTTTTATAGTTTAAGGTTGAGACGTTTTATCATTTCGTTTCAAACGTTCATTAACTTTGCTGTTCGGCAAAGAAACGTCATTTACCAAGTAGGCGGAGGTTAGTGGTTCTGAAAGGGAGTGCAAACTATCAAAAGTATGGTCACCTATTGTGTGAAGAACACTGGTGTTCGATACAACGGTTAGGTCTTCTAGAGTTCTTCCTAACATTAATGTTGTTTGATAAAGCAGTGGGTTACTACTTAATGTACAGTTTGTGTTTGGCAGAATAGTGACGAAGGTCCTAGCACCTGGGCTTTTCCCAACAATTCTCTATAATTCTCCGATTATTCTAGATCTAACGAGAAACCACAGCCATTTCAGTGTTCGCCTACTTCCAGGCATTGAGAAGAGGGGGTATGTTTAGGTAATTGACAAAGTTTTGTTCAGTGTCTTACCACATGCTGTTCTGTCTGACATTGGAAACAGATTCATTTATCCGCTTTTACTCATCAGGGAGATATTAACTTTTATTATTCGTCTTATCTTTGTTTTTCTGATGTAAATTTATTGAAGTCAGAAAGTTAACTTTTGCTCTTAATGTATTTGTATATTTACTCATACTATATTATACGCTTTTTTATATGTGCTTTTAAGTCGTTAAACAG